GGGGGGGGGGTGGCTAGTGGTAGTAGTAGTAGTAGTAGTAGTAGCAGCAGCAGCAGCAGCAGTAGTAGTAGTAGTAGTATGATGATGATGCAAGGTTGTCCTTCCCGCTATATTCTTGGGGTCTGCACGGTCTTCTGCGCGTCGTAGTTTATTTCCTTGCAGCGGGAAGCTTTTCGCTTCCGCCTTTGTTCTCTGATCTTCTTGTGTATTTTCCAAACTTTCTGCAGCATGTAGGGGCGAGGGAAGCTCCCTCGCCCGCGCGCGTGTCGGCGCCCCCGCCTGTTGCGGAGGGGTTAGTGAAAACCTCTCGCTCAAAGAACGCAAGCTTGCCGAGCAGCATCGAAGAAACACACACTACCAAGCGGGACTACCCCGAAAGATCGGCACAACGAATAGTGTTGCTCGGATTGCTTCCCCAAACTGCGAGTGTACCCCGCCTGTTGAGGGGATGAATGAATAGAAAGCAACCAGGGGAACATGAGGCCATCACTGGCAGTCTAGGTTTAGCGAGGCTATTGAGGACTTGACCAACGGTGCAGGGAAGCTGTAGTAGGACCGCATGCAGTAACAAGAAAACAACAAGAGGACACACACCCAAGTAGCTGCACGAGCACCTACATCATTGCACTACTGCTACGTTGGTCATCCTTTGGCGGGCTTTCACAGGGTCAACAAGTAAGCACACTCGCATACGGAACAAGACGCATAAAGGAATCAGTACTCCTGCCTCGCCATTTGATACTCTTGCTTGCTTGCTTGCTCGCCGTTTGAGGAGCAGGGCTACCCCTACCCCCCTGCGCACTCGCGCTACGGCTTCTGTCTGACGACTCTCCCTCTCTCTCTCTCTCTCTCTCCCGGGCTTAAGGACGTGTCACCGTCCCCGGGCAATTTGCCCACCCGCTCATGTTGAACGGGTTGTATGGGGAGTGAGGAATGAGCATTAATCATCCAGACGCTAAGGCAAATATTGTGTAACAGTAGAGGAGCAAGGATGATTGAATGCTCGCAAGGACACATGCACCACAGATCCATATCTGCCGTGGTATGAAGACTAAACAAGTTAAACACTGGCATTCGGATCTAGTCATCGTCCCCCTGTGTTTTGGGGAAATTAAGAATCCCCCAGCAGCTGACTGGCTTTTTGTGACTCTTTTTGTCACCTGTATCTTCAGAGGGCCACTTCAACAAGTAAAGCACACACTCAGGCCAACGAAGCACACAATCCCCCTCTCTCTCTCTTGCTCTCTCGCTCGCTCTCCCTCTCAATCGTCAAAGTCCCTGCCCGGATCGCCTCGCGCAGCTCTGGCAACTGCACAAGCTCCATGGCGATCTCTCGCTTGAGACCTGCGTGCTATCGCCGTGTTGACGCGAAAACGTGCTGCTGCTACGAATCTGAGAGCCGATCTCACCGGCAATCGTGGGAGCACAATGTCGTAATACCTGGGCCGAAACGATCAAAGAGACTGCGGCTCTCCGTTATCAGGAACTGGTGCTGCTCCAGATCCAGCCCCCATCTAAACCCCTCTTCTCCGCCATCCAAATCGGTGTCTTGGGCCCGGGTGCTAGCTTATACAATTTGTGAGTTCAAAAGCCGGTATGTCATGTCCTCGAACCAACTTTTTGTGGTAATGACGCGTAGCTCGTCATGCTAGGGCGCAGGGTGATAGGCAACATGCAATAAAACTCAATATCGAAAGTGCTTTGATCAGCAGGTACATACTTGCACTGATTGGTTCACAAGTTCTGATTGAGCCCTCGATGTGGGGAATAAGCTTGGCCTTGGCTATATCGAAAACTTGACTTCTGCTGCTTTGACAGACCATCATGCCCGGAACCGGTGCAAGGTAGAGCTCGTGCGTTCACGGAGGGGCATGAGCGCTTGCACTGAGATGTGCAAGGGAGATACATGGTGGACCAAGGGCTGAAGCTCCCTGTCTAGAATTGGTTTCACATCGTTTGCTGTTTGAGCTCCTCGGAGCGAACACTTTGCGCTGGGAGGAATGATGCCGGAGAGCCATGCGCCTTCAAGATGCACTGCTTCAGGATCTGCTGCATTCCACAGAAACGCTCCAAAGTACTCCAAAGCTTTGTTCATGCACCCGTCGAAGCACAGACAAGTGTTTCCAGTATGACGACTCTCTGCATTTACAGGCAGTTGCGCCAAAGCTCGAAGAATTCCACGATCGCAGTTGGGGCGAGACGGGCATTTGCAGCATGGACATGCTTGCTTGCCTCGACAATTTATTTCGTCATTGCGATTTGCGCAGAAGTTGCCGGGAACAGGCCACAACTCCATGAACTTCACGACTACACGTTGCCGGAAGCAAAATTAAAAGGAAGCCAACGACGCACACCCAAAAGCAGAGGATCATGTTGTATCGCAACAAAGAGTATACTCAGTACACAGAGGCCTCGGAGTTCACCTGACCCTCGAACACGCCGCCGACGAGCATCCACAAGCGCGTGTTGCCAATTTCTACTGTCCAGTTATGGACCTACAAATGTGTCGTTTTTGATTGCACAGGATTCAAGCTTTGCAGTAGGTCAGTAGGTACTCTTGAAACCACGGATGCGAGCACCCGCGCCCAATTCCGAGTTGCAAAAAGCACTGGGTGCACTCCGGCACAAACAAAGCCCAAGTTAAGGCCTAGCTCAGGAAACGCAAGGCTGTCCGGCCGTGAGCCTGCTTCAAACAATGCATGCGAGCACACCCTCCCCCCCAAATAGCAAAAGCACTGCGGCATTTCCCAATGCCTAAGTCATGCAACCACGCCGGGCCGTTCATCAAACATGCTGAAAGGTGCGGGTAAAGCGGGCTTTGGGAGGCACAACCACGACCAAGATTACTTTTATGTGCTTGTGCAGGATTAGGAGTCAGAGGAGCATCAACAGCGAATTTCTAGATTTCGGCTGATCGAGGTCAGCTGATGCAAAGACTCATCAAATAAACGAGCAACAGTTCAGACTTGCGTTTTCTATGCATGTTGCATGACCGGGACACTCGTCCATGCCAAAAATTCCTTTGCAGGGTGGCAAAATCGCACAAGCACCAATGTAGAGCTCGTCAAGGGTGATGCGTCCGAGGAAGGCTCTTGCGTCGAAGATCCGAAGTTTGCAGACTCCGGACAAGGCCGGCCCACTGTGACGATGTGCCCTTCCGGACCCGCGTTAAGAGCAGTGACGTGTTGCAGCCGAGTGGCTTCTCATGTCGCAGAAGGCTTTCCACCTGTCGAATCTTGTTTAGGAATGAGGAAGTCTTGGCTGCAAGGAATGAAATGTCGTGGGCCGACCCAGTCGCCCATTGTGACAGATGCCTTATCGGCTCGCGACGTGCACATTAACAGACTGATCCCAATCTCCAAAGGCCACAGCGGATGCGGAGCAGCCAGGCCTGGCTGGCAGGAGCAGCCATGCGGAGTGACTTCACGTTCCAGCCTGAAGAACTCTCTGTCGAAGAGAAATTTTCGAAGCCAAGTCCAGGCATCTCCAGGCCTGGCATTTTCGACTCAAGCTGCTCAAACTGCTCAAGCCGACGGAGCCAGTTGGGACTAAGGAGAAAGCGGCCAGCTGAACCGAATGTGCAGCATGCCGGCCTTGAGAGTCTTAAGCCCAGCATGGCGCAACAGTCCATTAACAAATGTTGGCTGAGAAGCAGGCAGCACGCACCATGACTGACCCTTTGAAGCCCACAAGTTGCTGGACCTGTTCTTTGGACGGCCTCGATCTGTGTGACTTGCTATTCGTGTTTCTCTGCCCTATGGACTGATGAGGCCACAGCTGTAATTGCGACAAGCGATAAATGCAGCCTGCAGAGACAAGCATGAAGCGCAAACTTTGCACGATAGAAACTCAACTTTCAAACCGTGACGACCTCATGTATCATGCAAAAATCAGCTGCATTTGCTGCCGCAGGAACAGAAGAGCGTAGACGGATCATTGTGCGAATGGGGCGTGTATGGCTCAGCCTCAGAAATGCATGTGCCCCGAAGCAGTATCAGTTGTTACGAAGCGCAGACGGGGAATTGAGCAGCCAGCGTGATCGGCGTGATTTTGCAGCTCGTCCACTAAGGACTCAACCTGTGCACACAAGAGCAGAGTGTCAATGCCACACAGCCAGTGAAGACTGCAAACCAGCCGCATCGTTGAGGCACAACAAGACATAGCGGAAATACGCGGACCTGCGACAACCAACCCGTGCTTCATTCATGCAGCCCAGATCATCGCAATGCTGAAGTTTTGCTTGGGCTTTGCACTGCAGCACTTGGCTCTGTAGTTTTGAGCTGAAGCCTGGCCGAGAGCAATCCAGTCATGTCATATATCCCATGCATTCCCATGCAGCATGCAAGACAGAGCTTCTTCTGCCTTCCAGCGCCAAGCACTTGTCTGACGAGCTGCACTCCCTGTCAAGATTCGTAGCGGCCTGGCTGAAGAGGATGTGCAGCCTTGGGGTTGGAGTGGGGATAGCAGCAAAGCTGCTGTAATCCTTGCCGCAATCCGTGACATCAAACTCTGCTGTCAGACCGATGCGTGACTGAGTCGAGACAAACTCGAAGATGCTGTTAGTGTCGAAATGCCAGTGCCCCGACACAGCTGCCTCTCTGCTCGCCGAAGGTGAGGGAGAAATGCCAGCTGCAATACCTGTGACGATCATCATGGCTTGTCAGTTTCATCTCGATCTCCGGTATCTGCTGTGGCCTGTTCCAACAGGAAGCCCACGAAATGCAGCACAACGCTTGCAGCTTTGCCGATGACGACGATGCAAATGACATGGCCTCAGGCAGGCGAACATCCATCGAGACCGGAGGACAACACTCTCAGGCCCCATCTGTGCACTCGGCTGGAGCTGGGGCAGGCAGTCGAGACGGACTTCCTCGCATGAGTCAGACCGAGACAAAGCCTTGTTTGGGATTACATCGCCCTTCACGTACCTTGCTGGGAGCATGGTGCGAAGAGGCGAGACGTGACGATGATTGCACACAGTCCGACCTGGAACTGAATCAGGGCAGGATGTAGGATTGCCAGCAAGAGCTGCGCGGCCAAGGGCTGTGGGTGTCTATGCGCTCGGAACACAACATGCTCCAGGCGTCCTGGAGCACTGCAGCTCCCACGAAAGTTGCGTCACAGCAGTGGGCAGATGCCTCTGTCACCTCAACAACTTTCTGGTCGCACCTGATGCAGGGGACAGCAGCTGGTTTCTTTCACAAGCACAGAGTGACTACTCGCGTCTGCAAACCAGTTTTAAGTCGCCACGAGCATGGATGATCACTCCCAAACAGCTGCTTCGGGACCCTCATTATCCAGCGAATCATGGCACAATCCTCATTTGAGACGTCGGCGGGTCATCTTCACCCCCAGGCAAAGGCGGATCCTCTTCGCAGTCTTGTGCTGACCTGCTCCAAAGTGGTGAGACCCAGATCCAATTTCTACCTTCACCATCGACTCAGACTCCAAGGTCGACACAACACGGAATCGACAGCAGCTCCAAGCTGGCCGTTGGCACGGAGGAGCTGTGCAGAGAAGACTCGCGCCTCACGTACGCCAACCACTACCCACCTCTGCCCCGAAGTCGGACACGCTTAGTTCACAAGGCACTCACGACCTGTGCGCTGTGCTGCTGCTGCTCCGACGACTACAATGCTACTGCTACTGCTACTGCTGCTGCTACTGCTAATGCTACTGCTACTGCTACCGCTGCTGCTACTGCTACTGCTACTGCAACTGCTACTGCTACTGTTACTGCTACTGCTGCTGCTACTACTACTACTACGACGACGACGACGACTACTACTACTACTACCACTACTCCTACTACCACTACTACTACTCCTACGACGACGACGACTACTACTGGGTTCTTTGGACGTGTGCCATCGTGGGCACTCTTGCCCCTGAAAGCATCCGCCTGAGCTACATCCAGCTGTGCCGGTTCCAATTCCGGCAGCTGAGAACAGAGACCGAAAACTTAACGATGATAACTGGCTCAGCAAACTCGAGGTTTGGGTTTCATTCCACACTGAACCCGGGAGCCGCTCCTTCCAGCGAAAAACTTCTGGTGCCATCATATGACATACAACGAGACACGAAAAAGAGCCTATGGCTGGGCCAGGCGTAGAGCTGAGGCTCATGGAGGGACCACCTATGGTGGGTGGTGGCACTCAGCACAGGACCTGGGCACTACCTTCAACGCTGCGCACCCTGCTGGCTGACTCTGGGAAGGGAGGGGAGGGGAGGGACTTATTGCACGTGCGAGCGTGCGTGCGCGTCCGCGTGTGCGTGCGTGCGTGTGCGCGCGCATGTGCATGTACGCGTGCATGTGCGTGTGCCTGCGTGTGTACGCATCAGTTGAACTACCGCTAAGCCCATTGCCTGGAAGGTGGACAACTCCTGGCCACAATGCGCATGCCACATACAGTGGGCTGCTTTCCTATCGGTGGGATGAGGGACTAGGCCAGCTGCAGCAGCTCGAGCCGAAACCCAAACACATCACGGCACACGACTCCGTAAATTTGTGGCAAGTTGCAAACAGATTGAGACTACAGGAGAACGAGGGCTTTTTCACATCTTAAGCGACTGAACACGGAGCTTCCTAAGAGTCTTGCTGCATGCTACACATGCTGCGGTACTATGTCGATCCAATCTTCGGGATGTCCACAGACAAGACATTAACGAATCAGCCGGCGGCTCTGTTGACAGACCTTCGTTGCTTCATCAAGCAACTGAAATCCAGTTTTGCTGAGCGATGTCTGCATACAGGCGCCTGGGTCAGGTGGGATCATCCGCAAGCACGGCCATGCACAAAAGCTCTTCCTTCTCCACCAATGCCTCCTGTTGTGATCACGGACTCAAGTTAAAGGTCCCACATGTGCGCCTTGCGAAACGTGAATATCCAAGATCTTCTATTCAAGACATGCAGTTTGGCTGCACAGGTGGGCTTCGGTTGGTCTAGCTTGGATGTTGTGGTCGGGTTGTTTGGTCAGCTCAGAGAGAGATGGCAAGGGCCTTTCCATTGCAAGTGACTACATAGAAGACATCCTCTTCACTGAAACAAATTTGAACAGCTGGGACTGACCTGCAGCGAACCACCCCTTTTCACTAGTTGCATCAGCAGGTGTGGCAACACATGTGCGTCCTTGACATCCGCCAGGCGCTGTGACACTTCCGCCAGCTCCGAGAGCAAGGACTCTTCTTGCTCTCCAGCTTTGTCAGCTTCTGCACGGATTCGTGGATTTTCACCTTGTGAAACATGTAACCTTTAAATGCCTTCCACATTGCTTGTGAAGTGGTGGGAACGGGAGCAACGCAAGCGTTACTGCGACACGGCCGAGTGCTGCACCATACCTTAGCTACTTAACTATGCCAACATGCGAGCAAACGAAAGATAAGACGAAAACTTGGTCGAAAACCAGGTCTCCAGCCTGGATATACGGATTTCGGCATTTTGGCGACGTTGCACCATTGCGGTCCAAGCGGTGGACAAGGACTTTTCCGACTCTTGCAGCTTTGTCTGCTCCTGCTTTGATTGAGTGGGGAAACAGCTTTGCTATGATGTGTTTGTTGCCGGGGCTTACTCAGGACATGCACCAATTTGGGGAGTGTCATCCTTAACGTGTCTTGAATTTGGCCGGATTTTGTGGCATGCTGCTTCTACTAATGCTTAGATCATACTCAGATCTAACTGAAGCAGTGTGTACCCTGGCTTGTTTTGAAGTTTTACCGAATCCTACGCACAGCTTGTCTTTTCTTCGGGGGTTTGTTGGTTGATCGCGGTTCCTTTGCTTTCTTATCGGGTTTCGGGTGGCTATGTGCGGTTTGTTTGTACATTGGTGTTTTGCAGGGGACTAGGAACCGCCTTTTTTGGATGGCTTCTCTGCCCTTGTTTTTATGATGTGCAATATTTAAGGGAGGCTTTAACACTACCACTACCACTACCACTACGACTACGACGACGACGACGACTACTACTACTACTCCTACTCCTACTCCTACTACTTCTACTACTACTACTACTACTACTGCTACTACTACTACTACTACTACTACTTCTTGTGCTGCTGCTGCTACTGCCCATGCTGCTCCTTGACCATGGAACCGCTATGACCACTGTTCA